AAACCGATAGCGAAACGGCGGGCTACAGCGACCTTTCAGCACAAGAGCGACCCTTGAGCACATAATCATATTATGCCTTCTTCAGATTACCAAAAAAGCTGTTCTGAGAGAACACACATTTAGCGGAGATAATACGTATTATGAATGGTCGCGTTCGTTCGGCATAAAACGTATTATGTGCTCAACGAACACGGCCAAGAATTATGTCAGCCATTCGTTGATATAATACCTTTCCTTTAGAATACTAGATTAGGAGGAAAACCCAAACAAACCAATAAACAGGTCTCATTTTTACAGGAAATTGGCTTTGCTTTCCTATTTAAGTAAATCTATACTTTCGGCCGAAAGGATAGTTAATCTAAGTGAATCGCATCTTTCGCTTCCTCATACACGTGCGCTAACGTGTAAGCCGAAGTAGCGGGCTTGAAGTAGGTCCATTACACCTGGTAGCACTTGTAGTCCGTCCAACGACCGACTTACTAATGAGTTCTTATGGAATACGAACACGAGGCGGAGAACCAACCCATGGACAGTAATCCGTCCATGCGCAGCCCATTTGTTTCTGCCACGCCCATTGTGCGTGACAGTCATGTGACGCTTCGACTTCTTCGACTGAATCAAGTTGTGTTTCGACCGCGTCCGCTGTATCTTACTTTTTAGTCAAATCGCCATGTTCATAAGCTGCACCTGCTACTTTCGTCGAGGCTTCTACAGTTTGAAGCGATGATATACCATTTCTGAAATACTACTCCTGCTCCACAATCGCCATTATATCCCAGCGTGCATGAACAATCATGGCAGGTAGATACTCGGAACGATGGACATGCGCAGCAATAAACATCAAGTGCTGACACGATAGGTTGTGACTGCAGTAGAATAAGCACGAACAAGGCCACTCGAAATCGTTACATTCGTACTTGTACTCATTGGTAATCACGTACCAGCTCCATCTTTTTCCTTCGTGTATGTAGTGTCCATCGAATAAACCATGAAATTGCCCCGTTGTGAGTGTGCTTTTGCCAATTAATCGTGACTTAAGTGCTTATAAACGGTACTTAGGAAGTCTAAATCAGTTTCCGGTATACGAGGGTAGATGCATACTTTTCCCATAGTAGCAGGAACAGGTCGAACGATTGTTCTTTGATGTGCCGGAAGCCCGCTGACTGTCGCGTCGAGTCGAGGGTTTTTCTTAGAAATTGTTTTACCTGATTCCAATTCGATTCGATTAGATTAGTAGTGGTATTACCAGCTGAGAAATATTCACTTCGCACGTGATTTGCCCATATTGACACGCACGCTTTCCAGTTTGCCGAGAATTATTCGAGTAGCTCGGAGCATTCTTTCTTGGAGACTTTCGTGAACCCAGCCAGCTCTTAATCGAAGCTCCTCTGACTTGCACTGAAAGTACATCCGAAACACGACGAGAAGTCATATTCAACAACACACGAAGCGACCTAGTCAGTCATCAACATACGAAGCAACACAGTAAGCAACACAGTCAGCAACATAAGAAGCAACACAACATATCAGTGATCCGCTACGTACCAATAGACGAGGAATGCGAACACAGCTTTCATCGTGTCCCGCTGCGCCATCTTGAGGTTGAATTTTGGTCTTCTGCAAAATTTCCTCCATTTACATGAGAGCGTGGAGCTGACATAAGAGTACGTTGGTGTGAGGGAGCGCCGTTTTCATTCCACAAAGTCTTCCTCGATAAAACTTGTCTGGATTCGCTTTCAAAATGGGCTGTGGCGCTTGAAAACCTCAACAGTGTACTCCACCGCAACAGCCTTTTGATCCAGTGCAAGAAAAACAATAATCGGGAAGCCTCTTCCAGTAGCTGACGTAGCTACAAAACGGCCTGTGTACAATTCATTCATATAAATTGTTAGTAGTTGCTAGAAGAAATGGATAATAAAATAAATAAATATATATATACTATAGAGAAATGGATATCAAACTAAATTTAATATAGATATACATATAGTTTGTTATCCATTTCTAATAATGATATTATCATACTAATACAAATGATACCCCAAGTTGTTTGTACCGTGCGTTACCAAACTGTCGCCCACGGCTTGAAACATGTCTTCTGAAGCGATGTTTGTATAGCAGTGACACAAGTAATCCCCATCTGATCTTGCACAAGAAGAACGTCGTTGCCGACCTCTACAAATGTATCCAGTAGCACCCTGGTCCGCGCCACTGTTGTAGATCCCAACACTTCTGCAATATGTTTCTAGTCTGATGTAAAATCAGAACCATATCTGCTAAAGCAAAAGTAGACAAATATGTTAATTTAAATTGACAAAAATAACTTTGACTGGAACATCCTCGTCACGGTCACCAGAAGCACCCCCCAGCCAAGCTTATCAGAAAGTCTGTAGTGCTGGCCTTCATGTCTTCCAAACGTCCGAGGTCTTCTCAAAGCTTGGACGGAAGGGGCATCAACTTAGCCCGCGGTACGAATCGTAAATAGTATTGCTGGTTTTGTGGTTGTGCTTCGGGATCTTTCGTTAACATTAATATGAGAAGTCAGTGCTCACAAACTAAACAAAAAATGTCAATCATTCTTACCTCCGAGTCCAGTTGAACGGCGACTTCCCATTTGGCAACCCCTTTCCTAACGACTTTTGCCGATCGAATCATGAAGCTTTCCTCGCACCCGGTGTACCGCCAACCGTGGTCTCGTCGCCCTTCCCCACGTGGTGCTTACATTACCCCGTGCGTACACCGCATCAGCTTAAAACTGTTCGATAGATGCTCCGGAATTTGTAGAGCTCCGGGGCGGCTAAGCAACGAAAAGGTATCACAACAATAAAAAATGAAGCGTTAGAATATCCTTTTAAAACATCTCTCGTCATCCCCACTTAAAATTACCTGTTGAGCTTCTCCCAACTTTCAGAGCTTTGAATACGGCAGTAAAAAAAATGTTCTGCCTCGTACCTCTCGAGTGCTGTCTGAAACTCATCCCAACTGCTGAATGTCTTGACTAGAATCTCTGCCAGAACGTTATCCACAAGCTGGTGCTCTTTCAGCAACTTCATTCGCCCTTTCCACGTTTTATTCTTTCGTTGAGGTAGGCGCCGCCCCGCCGCCACAGTCTGAGCGGAAGTAGCATGGCGGGCTGCCCCCCCCATTACTAAACTTGGGGCGTTTGGGTGGAAGTTCAGTCGTTCCTGCGTCATCACAATCCGATTCTTAGTACTGCGCTCGAGATATTTCCTTTTGCAATTTTGACATCGATCCTGCAGTTGACTGACAACTTGTTCTGGCATTTTGTGTAGCAGCGTCAGCTTCGGCGTTCTGTCTGGTGATTGTCACAAACTGGCGAGCCGCATCTTTAAATATCAACGGCCACAAAAAGGTAGCAACATTACAAAACTACACAAAAAGCAACACAATTAAGCAACACAGCAAGCAAAATACCAAGGCTGACTTGGCTAGCAGGTCTTGCTTCGACTGGTGCAGTTCGTGTGAGTACGCCGTCTGGGTTTGCGGATGCTGTCGCTACGCCAAGTGCAGAAGCTGCAGACGCAGCTTCTGCACTTTGGGCGTTTGCGGCGTCTGCGTCTTTGCCACGTGCATTGTATGTCTGCCTCTGCGACTGCGTCGTAGTCCTCGTCCACCAGACGCTCCATGTCAGCATCTTCATTCACCACATTAGCTAGGGTGGCTAACGGGTCCTCGATGTTTACATCGCCATCCACACGGTGAACCCTTGAGCAGCGCGGACGTAGTCGACTGGCTTGTCGTACCGCAAACAAGCACGGCGTCCTACAAAACAAACATACGATCTCCAGGTGGTGACAGCAGCATGAGTACCATGAACAATCGAACCTGTGCCTCCATCTGTAGCACCGTCTTCTCCCTGTGCTGGCGCTCCCTTTGCTGACATCCTCACCGGTGCTGCGGTCTCCACTGCTGCTTCCTCCCGCTACTTTACATTAAAATATGGGGACCATGGAATCTGTACTTACTCGAACAAAGCTAGAAATCCGTACTTACTCAAACAAATTTATCACAGCATTTAAAATCTCGGCTCTTATGATTTTTGCGTTAGATAAACTACGGAAAAATACCTAGCAAAACAAGTGCGTCGTAGGTTGCTCTCAGCACCTTGCCGTGTATCGTAGATAGGTTGCAGTAATGACTTCATGTGCTAGTACTGGTTCTGGAAAACTCGTCTAAATTACTTCAAAGTACACCGCTGTCTCCGATTTCTACAGTATGGCAGAGTGCCGTAAACTTATCGTACATGTATCGAACTTAGATAGATTCTAAGGTGCTGGAACATTTTTTGAAGGGGCGGTATTGTACCACTCAAAATTAAAATATTTGAATCAGAATAGTATTAATAACGTTCTGGCCTAATCGTAGGATTTAAATCAGTTTTGTTTATTTTTTAGTAATGCGAAATGTGGACCACACAAAATGAGGTTAAATTCAAATGTCCTGGGATTTGACGAAGCACCTGACACATCTACACTCATATAACTTAAAATGGTTAAATACATGTACGCTAGGACCGGAAAAGTCGCTGACCAATCAACAGACCCTTACAGGAAGATGGAGATTCAATTATTTTGAGTTATTTAGTACTTTAAAGTATCATTGATATAAGAAAGCTAGCGCTCGCTTACATCGCGTTTACAATACAGTGTGCTTACAAGCTGTGACACACAACACGGCCCATCCGCAATTGAACTTGACCGGAATCGAAAATTCCAATCCGAAATACAGTACATGTACGATCAAGTTCATTTGCACTGAAACCAGCGAAAATTGTCTGCAGATGGTAAGGATTGGCAATTCCGCCTCGCTTCATTTATGACTTGAGGCTGCATTATTGCTGCATTGGCCAGCGTTAGAGAGAGTATCTATCTTCGAGCCTACCAACTTTTACCACAATGGCGGATGAGACTCCACTAATACGACGAGCAAGAACACTTCAGCCACTTTCAGATCATCGCCGCGAGCGAGCAAGACCAGCGAGTATGCGTGAAATAATTGGAGTGAGGTGGAACAAGTCGCGTCTAGAGCGGTCGTCTGCCAAGACCCCTGAGCCCCCAATGGCAAGACCCAAAGTTCGACTTCGCGAGGGTGACGTGGAAGCGTTCCGCAACGTGGCGCATAGCGTGATTTCTCGAACTTTGGCTCGCGAGTGCGAGTACCGTCGTCAAGGATGCCCGGAACCCGATGTACAAGAGTGGAAGCTGGTCAAGCGGCACAAAGGACTTCGCGTGTACAAGTGCAAGATGCAGCCGGCATTTCAGCCTTTGCTGAGCCAGGAGAACGCACTAGCACGAGCACCGACTGCCATTTGCATCGGCACAATTGACGGCTCGCTCCAAGACGTTCTCTATGGTCTCCACACCAAGACCCGTCGAGAAATGCATGTGACCAACACGGTTATGAACAAAGATCATCTCGAGTGTGCTGTATTGTCAGTGATCGAGCATGGATCAGACCGGGACCCGTTCAAGCAGCTCGCACTTAAGTGGATCCTCGCACAGAATTTTGGAGACATGAAGTGTGGCAATTACCACGACGTGTGTTCTATCGAGTCCACGGGCACAGGAGTTGATGGTGGGGGTCAGCGCTTCGGCTACCGACTGATCAAAAGTGTGGATCTTGCTGAATACCCACAACTGTCCACAAGTAACGACGTTGTGCGTGTCAGGATGACTATGTGCTGGATCTTCCGACAAGAAGCCAACTCGCGCACTGTGCGTGTTTACTCCAAGGGAATGCTGGACATGGGCCAAAAAATCCCCTCGTTTGGGCCCAATAGCGACGCCACTTGCACGATGATGTTGTCCATCGCCAGTGCGACGGAGATCGCTGAAGCTAAACGACTGACCTTACTAGCTCTGCAACGAGCAGAGTACGACGCTTGTCTGTCTCAACGAACATGCGAGGCTGAGGATTCTTGTCGCGAGACAGAGGCGACGGTCACGTCTCCACTACCAGCACAAGGAAGTTTTGATCCACGCGAGTCTTTCCTACAGAAAATGCCTTCGGATCCGTGTTCCGTGTGTGGGAAGAAGCCAGCCATGTCAAAGTTCGTTCGTGCTTCGCATCGTAGCTGTGGAGTCTGCAAACAACCAGTATGCCACAAGTGCCACGTCAAGCGCAGATTAGTTGCTCGGTCAGTCGCACTTGTAGTAGCTTGCTGTAAGATCTGCATCATCGCGTCCAAGCGCCTGCGTGTGGATCCACGCGACCCATGCCCCATGCTCACGGTATAGCTACATTTTACTAACATTAATACTCCTGAACCATATCATCGAATGATGTTATCGTCAACCAAAACGTCCATTTACTACTGTCGTATTTAATTTTCACTTCACTCCAATCAGGAACAGGGAGAGATACGAGTGCATAAACCAAAGGTACGCGGCGACAAACACTATTCGTTGCAGAACAGGCGGGAGAATCACCAGTAGCTGCACCACCACACCCCAGGACCACATGAACAGGTACGGCAGCGTCAGCCAGTGCCACACGGGCCACATCCCAAAAGCCAAACTGTCGCGTTAGAAACAACCAGATCATCATCATTCGGCCAACCAACATTGCACAAGACCGACACAAGGATGGTACTCACAAGAAACCAGACGCCAACACAGATACCAGCATCCCGTGCGTCGCTGTCTTGGCAGTCTCATAGTGAACACGTTCGCCAAGGATCATGCTACGGTACACCTCAATGTAGCAGCCAAAGACTCCCAATAGCGTCCCGAACAAAATACCCAAGTGCACAAAACTGCGGTTGGCATGGGGCGCGTGCAGTAGATCCGACACAAAATCGGCTTCATACAGTCCCAGACACGCCACGCTGAAGAATGCAACAGACCAGATCTTGTCCATTACGAAACGCACCCAGATCTCAGGCTGCGAGCGCCGTGGCGCCGGCGTATTGGATACCATAGGATCCGTCTCCGCGTGGTCTGTCTCGCCCTCGTCGTCCCCATTTCGTTGAGACCGAGGGTGGCGCTCCTTGATCTCCTGCATGTCCATCATCTTGCTGCACGAGAATTTCTCAAATTAATTTCGTACTTCGAAGTATCCGGATAATACGGTACAGTACCGGTATATCAAAGGTCTTGTTTCGCTCTAAATCTGATCTGGATCTGAGTCAAAGTCAGAATCCGTAGTGATCAGTATCAGAGTAAGGATTCGTCGACATGGGGGTCACGAAGAAGCCTACGGAGGCGGTTGCGGCCGCCGTAGAGGCCTCGATGGCTGCGGCTTCGTCACGTAGCTGCAACGAGTTTGCAGCTAACAAGCGGGGCGTTTTCTTCCTCACGTTCGTCAGCTACGTATTGTTCCACGCGAGCCGCAAAAGCTTCTCGGCCATCAAAGGCGAGATGGGGGACGAGCAGTGGATTCACTCGGAGCTGTACTCGAGAGACCAGCAGGCTGAAATGTATGGGCTCATGGACACGCTCTTCATGGGCTTCTATGCGCTTGGGCTGTACATCAGGTGCGGATGCGTTAAATAACTGTCAATACGAACAATTAACTGATAGGTGACGTGTGAACAAACGTTGAAGTGGCATTCTAGGAGACAAGCATGACCTACGACGCATGATCGCTGGCGGCATGTGGGCCACTGCGGCTATAGTATTGCTATTCGGACTGGGAGCATTGGCGGATATCCACGCGCTGAGCTTTTATGCGGTACTGTGGGGTCTCAACGGCCTCGTCCAGTCCAGCGGCTGGCCAGCCAACGTCGCTGTGATGGGCAGGTGGTTCGACCAGAAAGAGCGCGGCGCTGTGCTCGGCGTCTGGAGCGGCAATGCCTGTCTGGGCAACATTGTGGGCACAGCTCTCGTGGCGCTTATGTTTGCACTCGTGGACGAGACGGTGGCGTGGAAACTCGCTCTCGTTGTGGCTGCTGGTCTCGTGGCGTTCCACGGCCTCATCATCCACTTTTTCCTGTATCCGGACCCAAAGGATGTGCCGTATCGCCATGAAAGTCTTGAGGAGGCCCAGCCAGAAGTGGCCAAGCAGAAAGATGACCCAGACGAAGCTGCTGCTGCTGCTGACGAGATGGAGGAGATGAAACCCAAGGGCATTGGCTTCTTCAAGGCCTGGCGCATTCCTGGAGTGAGCGATTGGTGCTAGCTTTATCAGCTAGTGAAGCTTACGTCGTTCTAACTGGCTACTGCTGTGTGTGTGTGCGTGTGCTCGCCAGGTCTTGCCGTACGCCTTGTCGTATGCTTGTCTCAAGTCAGTCAACTACGCGCTGTTCTTCTGGCTTCCGTTCTATCTCACGGTGTCGCTTCACATGGACAACTCCCAGGCTGGATCGTTCTCGGTTGAGCGTGCTTTGTGGATGTATGGGGGGTGATGATTTTCTGTGCTGACCACTGTTAACTTGTTTGGCCTGTAGATGTTGTACGACGCGGGGCAGATTTTCGGAGGGTTTGTGGGTGGAATTGTGTCGGATAGAATGGGCGTGCGGTCTCCTGTGGTCGTCACGATGCTGCTCTTGTCCTGGTACGAAACGTTTCCAGTTTTCCTGCTGTTGTAATTGGTAGAGGCTAACACTTAACTGGTTATGTTATCAGCATCACCTTGTACTTCATGGACGGAGCTTCATACGATGCGACCGCGCTGTTGTTGCTGTCTTCTGGGTTCATGCTCGGTGGCCCAGCTAACTTGATCAGTACCGCTATTTCCGCGGATCTAGGCACCCACGAGAGCATCCGAGGTGACGCAGAGGCACTTTCCACTGTCACGGGCATCATCGATGGCACGGGAAGTATCGGTGCGGCTTTGGTGCAATACCTTGTGGGATACTTGGCAAACTGCCAGTACGAACCGAAAGGCTGCGATCCCAAGAGCCCTCGCTGTGTGCAGGTCTGCTCGTGGGGCCCAGTTTTCGTGCTGTTGGAGGTAGGTACGGTTCTGTCGTGCGTGTGCCTAGCGCAACTCCTCTATCACGAACTGCTGCTCATTCGTAGCCGACGTCGCTACTGCGCCCGCGAAAGCTAATACATGTAGCAAAATATTCATTCTGCCCATGGATTATAGTTTTTTTAAGAAATAAAAGAGCATTTTTTTCCACCAAAGATTGAACGGATTGTGACTTCATGCTTTATCTCAAATTGTTTTTCTCTATACGAAGTACTTCGAACAGTTTTACTTGTACTGGTAAGCATCGAATACAAGAACTGCGCTTCTCATGTATTTTCATTCATCAATAATCTCAGGCAGCGCCCATGACGACGTACCACTAACACCATCATGTCGCCTGAAACACATTGGTCGGAGATATGTAAGAAAAGTATTTGAACGACGATCATGGCTAGTTTAAATACCACACTGTTGTTCAGCCCCCCCCCCCCGATATCGATATAAAGATGATCATTTTGGCAAGGTCTTATTTAACAGCTGCTTGCATAGAAATGTTTATACACCATTTCCCGGCCAAGATACCAGTTTTACCAACCATCGTGCTACGATGGTTGGTAAATGGTGTAGTCCGTTGGTTAATATAACGGTATCGGTTCAGTTCGCCTTTCTAGCAACAAGATTCGAGGTCACAAAAATTAAACAAGAGCTTGAAAAAAGTAGATGACGGCATTCGCTGCATTCTATCCAGAAAAAAGGAGAAACACGCTGGGATAACACACGGGGCTGGGCGACGTGGGTGCCATAGGCGGCGCCAACTTTTATTATAATAATAAGGTGAGCGGGTGCGAAGCTGGGTCGCGCGCTATTTGCGGAGGCGGGCCCAGCGTCGCGAGCAGCGCGTTGCACTCTCCAAGACATTCTATATTTATATCGCGAGCGTCGCAAGGGCGAAGGGGCGCGAATGCGCGGCTGGTCACTTTTCTGCTATGTCCTCTAATCGTCGATTATGCCTTATTGCGACACTCAGAAGGTCAAATTAATACAGAAGTCAAGTCAAATGATTTCCGTAGTAAATGCATGTGTTTGGCATGTTCTGTCAGTATTTCGTGATGTTTTCTAAATCGAGAGCCAAGGCAACTAAATGACACAATTATCCCATAGTGTGTAATTTTGCGGCGTGTGCTTCGTTCCACAAGACACGATACGTGTTTACCACTTTCGTATTGTCGAGGCTATTTGCCTGCTTCCCTCCCTTTAGCGCAGTGGCGACGTAATTCACTGGCTTCATCTCCGTCTTCCATTTGCTGACGAGTCCAGCTCGCAATCGCTCGGCGGTAGCAACAGCGACGTGGTTTTTACTGTTAAGACCAAGGTTGATGTATTTCATCAATTTTTCTTGTCCCATGTTAGTCACCAGCGTGCCAACTCCATACTGGTCCAGGCCTCCCCTCTGCTGGGCAGTCTGTTCGCTGATTCGGACATACAGTGGCAGCGCGTCGGCGTCGAACGATCTCCCTTCCAGCTTTGGATATACCTTTGACGTAAAAACATCATCTAGCGAATATCCCTGTTTGATGAGGCTGTTGCGTGTCCTTGTCACTTTCCACTCCTCTTTAGGCATCGCCTTGACGATCGATAGGTCCAGCTCCCCGAAAGCGTTCTTCATCAGCCTCGAGTCAATCCCCGAAAGAACCTTGGGGTCAACCGGTTTAACCTTTGCCGGGTCAATCTTTTTCCCCTTCAGCAGATTGGCAAACTCCTTAAAATGTTCGACGGTCCCGCCCGTTCTTCGTTATCATCGTCGCCATCGATCGCCTTCGCGGCCCTCAGCTTTCGTTTCGTTCCCACGACACTCAGGCTGTCTGTGAGCGCTTGATCCATCTGGACGTTGGAGTTTATCCCCTGGGACGCAGTAAAAGAGGCATTTACACTCATGGCGAGGATAGCAACCATGACTACAAATATGCATTGGAGACGCATTGCCCCACTCCCGCGTGTGTGTTATCCGAGGCGCCAGGATTAATAAAAATGAAGAGTGCCCATGGCCCATGGTACGTGTACAGTCCTTAAATTTGTTTACGAACGAACTGTCCGTTACAAAAAGTACCGGTACTTCTCAAATGTCATAATCAAAAAAATTCTTTCTGGACGGATCGAGTGAGGTTGCTTTATAATACATGTAAGTATGGAGGTGAGTATTTGGCTTTCCGACTACAGAAAACAATTACATGTATTCTCCCCAACTGGTATTAGCCCGCCGCTACGGTACGCGGCGTACCGTTGCCCCCCGCCCCCCCCCCCCCCGACTTTGGGCCTGACAAGCGGAAAAAAGGGCGGGCCCACCACAATGTACACTGGAATACGGGACATGTACACATTACATGTATGATAATCCAAAGGATGAGCTTTTACAAATCATGCAGACACAAGGAATACGGTACATGTACATTGTACACCGTAACCGGTACACGAGGGATACCGGACATGTACCATGTACAGTCGTGCACCTCCAATTCGGCAGGGCGGACCATATACAGCAGTGTGCAGGGCATAATGCACGACGTAAAGCGAATACAAACTCAAAACCAGTGCACTTGAAATCTTATTTGTAAGTTCAGTACTAAAGTTACGGCATCTTCTGCATATGCTTGTCGTCCGAGCGGCGAATAGCGGCGCGCAACAGCACTTCTGGTCGCGATAGGCGTCCGGCAAGGCGGCAACTTCCGCGGACCGCTTAAAAATACTTTGGACGGTAGTGCGCTTTACTGCTTGGGGGGTCTTAAAGCGCTCCGTTGCCCAACGAGCAAGTTCGGAGCAGGATTTGACTTGTGGCTTCTCGCACAAAGACTGCTTTTGTGGGACATGTAGGAGGAAGGGCGATGTCCCATTGTCTTGGCGGTAAAAATCAAAGTGTGTGTTTGTATGAAGACGTCCGATCCAAAATTTAAAATCAGATCGATGCGGCGTGTCATCCCTCGGCGAGGATGGGAAAACCGTTGAGGTTAACTGCTAGGGTGGTGATGGGCAAAGGTAATTGCGCATCCGATTCGCGTAATCATCAAATCTGGCAGGGTATCGACTGATACCGGTGCCGAATTGGAGGTGCACGACTGTACATGTACATTGTTCATGTACATTGTACATGTACCGTATTCCTTGTGTCTGCATGATTTGTAAAGCACATCCTTTGGATTATCATAATTTGTCGTCATTGAAGAATGGCGTACATGTAAGAGCACCGTAACGTTACGACAGTACGACAACCATCAAGCACCTTTATTGCAGTGAAGCACCATACTGAAATACGCCCTAAATAATGATACTGTAATAAAATCCAACAAAATCCGCCGATAGAGGCGAAGTTTTGCAAAAATAAAATGATGTTACAAAATTTACAATAACATAATCTGATCTCTTTTCCAAAACAGCGAACAAAGAAAAAGGGAATCGCTATGGATCAACAAATTTTGGCGCGTGAGCTGCTGCGTTCAAGATGACAGGCTTTGTAAGATATATAAGACAAGATGGAGAAGATGATGGAGGCGCTCAATGACGTGCTGTACGCTCGCGAGGAGCTCGAAGCAATGTTGCTTCGCGAGGCAGAGATCATCAATGAGCCGAGTGCAAGCATCGGAAAGGCTCCAACTCTGAGAGGTTTTCCGTCGTCGTATGGGATGGTGCTGGGGCGTGTTATTAAATTTCTTATGAATTACCCTCCTGCTCAGTGAGCTGGATGCTGAATTCGATGTTGGTAAGCTCTTCTCAACCAAAACGTTTAACTTTTTATTTTTATAGTGATGCTCAATCTCTTTGCGTGAAACAGTACCTCGAACATTGAAGTGCCTTATTATTGTCGTGTGAGCTTAGTAAGTTCTTATCCGTCTTTTGCATTTTTTTAAACTCTTCTTCAATCCGTAGGGCAGGATTTGCTGTACACAGCAGCAGCCACGTCAATATCAACCGCATCACTCGTACGTAGGCCTCCGTGATACGATGACGCTCAATCCTATGGGTGTGCGCAAGAAAGCGCAAATCATTCCCAACATCAGACATCCAGAGCTTGTGCCATCGGGCTGAGCAGGCTCGTCAATTCACTTTATTCGAATCTCTATGGGTAATTGCTGCTTAATCCCACTTCCTGCCTGCCATTATTCCAAATATGGCATCAATGTGTTTTTCCAGGCATTTTTCATCTCTCGTCGATAGCATCGTTGGTGCAAAGGATCGTAAAACCTTACGGGTAATGCTGTTGGAAACGCCACTTCCACGATGATAACACCTTATTGCATACTATACAGATTCAACGGCAAAAAAACGAATGGTGTCTCCGATAGCCACTGTTTTGGCTGGCTTGGCCATATCAGCAACGAAGACAACGCAACAGCTCCTTTAGCCGTGTCAGTGATCATCGGTATCCCCATACCGATTACTGCGTCGTTCGACATTGCGTTGCGAGGAATTATGGCAGCTACATATATAAAATTACCGAAAGCGGACCCCGACTTGCTCTTCAAAATCGTCATCAGAGAACAGTTTGAACATTTCTGAAGCACGTTCTAAGCCAAAGCTTGGTGAACCTTTGCAGTTTCTGAATGGAGTAATCCACTTGTTTTAACCTCCAAGGAAAAAGGTTCGACTGGATAAGCTTGAGCAAGGCGCCAATCTTGCTTCAGCCACTTGACATCCTCGATAAATCCCCTGGCCTTTGCCTTGAGTATGTAAAATTCTCAATTTTGCTTAGAAAGTGCTGTAAGTTCCATACAAAAAGGGGTTGGTAGTGTTTGTGTAAATTGGTGCAACCTTTTATTTCTAAAACTTTGCACGTAACAGGACGAGCTTGTAGAAACTTGTCATCCATGCGAACAGGATACTGGTCGAGCACGTTTGACACTTTCTACACATTCGGGTAATATTAAGTCCACTGGATGATCTGGGTCAGCGAGACAGTAACCTTCGATGAAAGCAGAACAACAGCCAACTTAGGTTGCGTGGCAATCCACCGCTGTCTTGTCTTCTTTTCGTACGAGGATTCGGATCTGGAAGTTTCATCACTTCAACACGGCGTGAGTTCAGTGGTTGGGTCGTATTACTTTGATTTTCGTTTAACTGGTCCTCACAGTGGCGGTCTTCGCTACATTCCAAAGCATTGCTGTTTGAAATAGACCTTCCGTATGTATCTCGCCACACATTTTTTGGTTCTTCTTTTGGTGTTTCGGATAATTGGGTGGCTTCAAGTCCGGTCTTCCGACGGAGGATGAGAAGGCTCGCCATTTGCAAATTTTCGCTCTCGTGCCAACACCGCCAATGACTCACCCTCCATTTCCAACTCCTGGTCGGCCTGCATCTCGGCCATCACATCTGCGATGTCAAGCGGATCAAAGATACTGTCAGAATCGCTGTCAGCTCCAGTAAAAGCAGAACCTGCAACAGTTGAGGATGTGTTCTCAGCACTACCACTAAGTTGTTTTTCGGTGAAAGACTTCCAATTGTTCATCTTCTCGTAGAATTCAAAGGTAGATAATCCACTCAGCTTCTCAATCACTGGTCCGAATAGAGCTTCTCAGCACCCGAAAGGACTACCATATTACCCTCCTCTTGGCGTCAAAGACGAACATACCCGCTTTCCCACTCGCGCTTTGGAGGTGAGGTTGCTTTTTAAGGGTGCAGGATGGGCTTTGGGTGCCCTTAAGTTCATCGGTCGAGCTTTCACCATATTAATCACTTGGCGAACAGACTCCAAACCCTCTTCCAGTGTGTCGCTGACACAAGAGTACGGTTGCCTCGGGAAAGCACCTCTCCAGCACTCTCTACTCCCCAAAGTCCTTGTCAATGGTAAAAGTCTCTATTTGTGTCCAATCTTCGTTTTTCCTCTTGAGAAACTGAAGAATCGCTTCCATAGTAGATTCTTTTTCATCAAGCGCAATAAAGCCCAAAACCGGCACACCCCGCCCCGTTGCACTGGTAACAAGAAGACTCCCTGAGTGAAAGTAAACATAACAATAGTTAAAGGTGCTGCACCAGAGATAAGGGCGCTCAACTATAGAGATAAGGGCGCCTCAAAAATAAATGAAAAAAAACTTACCAAGATGAAATCCCAAGTTGTTTGTGCCATAAGTCCAATCCATACAAAGCGTCTCCCCCAGTGTTCAAAAGCTAGCTTTTGTACGACAGTCTGTATCAAAACGCCACTCGTCACGTCGTTCTGGTCTTGAAGAACGATAATCTCGTTGTCATCAGACCATGCCAAGGTATCCAGCATATTCGAAAGTTTTTTGTCAGCAGATGTACTTTGCAACACCTTTCTGACAATGTTGCGTGCTTGCTGGGATGTCACGTGACGTTCCGAAGCACCGGAAAGAAACTCTTGAATGTGATGTGACCCCGTGTTGGCAACCGCAAGAACGCCAATACCATGCTATTTTCAGCTACTGATCCTGCTCCAAAATAGCTGAAGTAAATTGATGCATTTGTTCGATGATCGTGTGTCCAGGTCTATATATATACACTATAATATTATTAGTATTTCGTACGCTCAGCGACATTAGAGACCTTTCGCCACCAGCAGTATTTACCCATACCCACAGTGTTAAACAGAAACGCTGCACACTCTGCCCATCTGAGGATAGCGTTCTGCAGAATCTACCAGCCTGTAGAATGATTATCTCACATCTAAATCGCCCACCTTTCCTGTTAAGCTATGCCACCCAGTGAGAAGCGTCGAAACTTCACGGGCGAAGAGGACCTTGCGCTGCTGCGCCAAGCAGCATTCGATCGGCCCTTTTTAAGTGAGCGTGGAGGGGTCATTGCTGCTTGGGACTCCGTGGCTGCTACGCTTGTCGGCGACGCAGGCTTTCCAAGAGACAAGCTCTCAGGAAAGCATGCACAGGCACGCTTCGACAAGCTTATTCAGCGCAAGAGAGATGCGAACACGGTGGCGCTTGCCGCATCGGGGGTCGCAGAGGAAGAAACTGAAGCTGATACGATCCTCGACGAGCTCATCGAGCTTATCGATGATCGTGCAGCAGTGCAGAAGTCTCAAAAAGACGCAGCCAAGCGAAAGCGTGACGAAGACGAGGAAGCCTCCCGAAACGTCCGTCGCCTCGCCATGCAGCGTCTTCGTGACGAGAGTACGACGCCACCACGAAAGCGCAAGGAGGAGGAAATGAGAGAGTTTGTACTCCAATTAAAGAAGCAGGAGATCGAAGCAAGAAAAGAGGAGCAGGAGACAAAAGCTGCTCAGCGCGCCGAAGAACGACAAAAGGACCGAGACTTTATGCTTGCATTGGCAGAGATGATTGGACAGCAGATCGCTGAAATTGTCAGCGCTAATCGTAGTTAGAACACGCAAATAAAACGGAAGGGTGGAAATTTGCTTTATGCTTTTAAGTATTCTGCCAATGTAGGGGGTACCAGTCCAAAATACTTACTGATCTGGTTCCCACCTTCATGGCAACAATGGCAATTGGTGAGCAGCATGCTTACCGAGACATACTTACCTATAGGTCCCACCCGTAGTTTTAGTGACTTCTTGTAATCAATAAACGCCCAGTAGCTTTTCAAATGCGCGAACTTCCATTTCACCGATTCCCGCACGGAGCTCATTCTTGCATTAAAAATCTTTTCCAATGCCGATACACTTGCACCTTTGTAACCCGACACGATGTACTGTTGGATAGGATACGCTGGGTCGCCGTACAGCGCGTACCCTCTAAAGATGTCGTCGTGCGTCTCAAAAAACTTCACCAGCTTACTTTCGTACAGCAGCGTAACGTCGTGGCGTTTGCCTTCTATGGGTCCCCAGAAATGGATAGCGAGGCCATCGGGAACGACAACACTTTGGTAAGTAAGACAATGAACCCTTTTGTGGCCCGAGTACATCTGTTTTTGCAGGTTCTCGCAGTGTCCACGCCGTGATGAAGGACGTGAAATCGCAATTTTGGCTCCGTCAATAAACCCAAAAAGTTGGGCATCGGCGCACTGCGAGCCTCAACAGCACTAGCATAGGTAGCGATACTGCGACGACACAAACTCTTATGGAAGTAGATCAGAGTGTTGTATCTATCATACAAGTACACAACTTTCCAAAAACAGCATTAGTATTAGTTTTACCATGCCAAACAAAGTAATGCATTCTCACGTACTCATATGAGAGAATATCCTGCTGATAGGGCCCTCTGCACGCCCAAACTTGCTGGATAGGTCCAGGTTTCGGCGTGGGTAGCTAAGGCGGTAAAGTAGAATGCAGAGTGCTTCTGTACAGTGGACCTTGTCTCGATTGCGTGTTACCACGTATTCAGGTAGGGCAAAATGAAGTGTGAGAGCGTAGATTGTAGCTCTGTCGAACCGAAAGTCGCTCTTGCAGTTGACGTCGGACTGAATATCGAGCTTGAACCTTATGGCTGGAATAAGAGGTCTCTCTGGCGGGACCCCTCTTGCGAGGTATAGAAGCTGAAGAGCGTCGACGTTGGTGGTGCTGAGGATCAGAAGCAGAGCGTTTTCCATAGGAACTGGTTGGCTGTTCTTGGAGGATGATAAACTCTGAGGATGAGGGTGGAGAATGCTGCGAAAAGTAAAAAACGCTATGTCCACACAATAGTGCCGTGGCCTGTCTATATTTTACGGATAAGGATAAAGCTTTTCTGCGAAAGGTCTCTATTGTCAAATAATTACTTACCCAGTTCGCAGGACGATTCGTCACCTTGAATCATGGTCTTCGTCTGCAGTATTCATCACAGTGGTCGTGACTCTAGCTCTACACCCAGTGTATCTAGTTGGTGTACTTCGCAAGCCTTTACCTCGAGACTTCTGAGGACAACCATGGGTACAGCGAAACCCTTGTAGCTGTGCTGCATCTTGCTTGGTATCTGCAGCTTGACCAACCTTGTAGCTGTGCTGCATCTTGTTTGGTATAAGCAGCTTGACCAACCTATAATTTACAAAACAAAAAAACATTATTGTGAGTCAGTCTGATATAATTTAAAAACAATAAACTATATTATAAATTGTACATACGTATTGTGCTTTTTTTTCACCGTCTGTGAGTCTCGGGCCCTGAATAGTAGGCAGTGTTCGCTGCAATATTTCTCCATAACATCACCGAGCTCTTTCCATGTCAAAAACCCGAGCTGTCGCATCGGCGGAAATTTGTCCACAAAGTTCACACGGGACGTATCCATTGCCAAACGTTCGGGATACGACTTGGTGCGTCTGACCTTGGCGTTCGGTTGACATTAGGATTTTGGGCGGCAATGTTTGTGTCTTTACCCTGTGCTGACGTATTCTTCGCGACACTGTCCTCGCTAGAGCCGTCACTTTCAGCATGCCGTCGTCGTTTGGTAGGTGTTGTGAGTTGGTGCAGACGACTTTTCCTCTTGGAGGCACGGCTTGTATCTGCCCGTAGTATCAAAAACAGTTAATTATAGTCATATACGATAAATGTTCGCAATAGCACTAAACACTTTTGTCCAGAAGCTCCTGCAACGTATCATTCGAATCGCTATCAAGTTTGATGCCAATATCACGGTCGGCATCTTCAGACCCGGAAGAAGAAGAGATTAGCTCTAGAAGGGCATCTGTGTCATCTAAAAAACCAGAAGCATTAACGTTGGAGATTTTTTTGTAATGACCACAAATATAGCAAAGAAGCTGTGATACGTACCTTCAGACATTTAAGTTGCGATCTCCAGTCAGCTGTCGCGTCAGTGAGCGATCGTCTAGCAGGAAAACAGGTAGAATTCTTCCCGTGTGTGACGGCTTTCGACACGTGGCTCAGATTTCTCGAATGAACCTCAAAATTAAACGGCCAGGATTCATCGCACTTGACGATATTCTTCGAACTTAGTTGAGATTTTAGTGTACACACTGGTTATTTTCCGGCCCCGATTTTAAATTTCACGTGTAAGTTTTACAATTCAGGAAATATCATGAATAGTTTAAGAGCGCTCATATTCTCAAGTTCCTTTTAACGGTACTATTTATGCAAATTCCCTATGGTGCTTGAACTACTTCGGTCATTGAATTTGACACATAGTTGCAAAATTTGCATTACGTATTTTACAACTATGTTTAAGCGCTGTATTCGGATCGTTCTTTGGACCCTTCAATCAATTAATAGAGATTCTTTAAGGCCTTTACCACGTTCTTATATCGAATAAAGATGCCCCCCAAGAATGGCTTAGCTCACCTGCTGCCATTTTGCTGATAATACGAAATTTGAAGTTTGTTTTGTAAGTACATAAGCTGCGCCAGTACGACTAAGGCTTGATTTTTATTAGCTACTCGCTGC